TCGGTAAAGAGCTCCCGAAGTTGTGGACGGCATGGCGCGGCCGTGAAGCAGAAGCGAGCTCGTGAAGCGGCGCAGAGGAAGTGGAGTGTGGCACCGAGCATCTACCGCGTCGCTACGGCGGAAGTTGAACTCCGAGTTCTGGTCGTTTGGCTGCACCGAGAAGGCGAGGATCTCAAAGTCGCCTGCGGGCGGGGGAGCGTCGAGGGAGGGTGAGGACGCCGCGCGCGCGCGCAGGTTTGCGAGGCGGCCCACGAGAGGTGAGCGGCGCCATTCTGCTTCTCGATGATGTCGAGGGCCTGGCCGACGCGCCGCAACGAGATCAGCCGAGATTCGCCGAGATTCGCCAAGATTCGCCGAGATTCGCCGAGATTCGGCGAGATTCGCCGAGATTCGCCGAGATTCGCCGAGATTCGCCGAGATTCGCCGAGATTCGCCGGGATTCGCCGAGATTCGCCGAGATTCGCCGAGATTCGCCGAGATTCGCCGAGATTCGGCGAAGCTGCGCGCGGGCCTGGTTGATCAGGCCCTGGTCGAACAAATGGCCCTGCAGCAGCAGGTCGCGCGACGGCCAGCCGACGCTACCGGCGGCGGCCGACGCACCCTCCTCGCTGGCGATGCAGCCCGCCTGCTGCAGCGCGCCCGCGACGCGCGGCTGAAAGGCGACGCCGAGCGGCGAGAGAGGCGAGCGGATGCCTGTTCACAGCTGCAGGTGTGAGGAGACGCTGTTCACAGCTCGATCCTAGAGAGAGGGCGCGAGCGGATGCCTAGGAGGAGAATGGCTCCTTAGCAATACTATTCACGATCTAAGGAGAAGCGAGAGAGGCGCGAGCGGATGCCTAGGAGGAGAATGACTCCTTATTACTACTATTCCACGAATTAAGGAGAAGCGAGGGAGGCGCGAGGTGCCACGCCTTCCCCCATGCGGCCCATCTTGTGCAGCGCCCACTTGACTGGGATCGGGTTGGCCTCGCAAATCAGGAGGAATTAATTAATGCATTCATTAATCAATGCATGAATTAATTAATTAAGGATCGGGTTGATTGAACTAGCTAATTAAGGATCGGGCTCGCCTCGCAAAACAGGTCGCGGTGCAGCGCCATCAGAGGGCCGTCCGCCGCGAGCGCCGCCGCCGCGTCGCCCGCCCGCCCCGAGGCCATCACCGCCGCAACGGCCGCGGGCGCGACGTTGGCCGTGACAGAGATGACCCCGTCGCCACCCTGAGCCAAGAGAGTGGCGCTCTTGGGACGAGGGTCCCCCCTTCCCACCTCCCACCTCCCCTCCCCCTCCCCCGCCCCCCTTCCCACCCCCCACCTCCCCTCACACGGCGCGAGACACACACGCGCCTGCAGCACGTACTCGCGCGCGGCGGCGTCCTCGCCGGAGTAGAGCCGAAAGTCGTCCCCGCACACGGCTCGCCTAGTCTCGCGCAATCTCCCCCTCGATCTCGGCTCATCTCGGGAGCAGACGCGCGTCGCCCGCCGCGAGGCTCGCATCGGCGCGGCGCGCGTGTTGTCGCCGGTCGCGTCCTGGAGGCAGAACGAGGGGGGTGGGAACGGGTACCGTGGGGGTAGGGGATGGGTTCGGTGCCGTGGGGGTAGGGGAGGGTGGGTTCGGGTTCCGTGGGGTAGGGGAGGGTGGGTTCGGGTACCGTGGGGTAGGGGGGGAAGGGTGGGTTCGGGCGCCGTGGGGTAGGGGGGAGAGGGTTCGGGTGCCGTGTGGGTAGAGGGACCTTGAGGCCGCAGATCCGCGGGTGGCGCGAGAGGGCGACGGTCGTCTCGACCGACATGTCGACGCCCGTCCGTCCGGGCACGTTGTACAGCACGATCGGCAACTCGACCGCGTCTGCGATCCGCGTGAAGTGCGCCACGAGCCCGGCCTGCAGAGGGGGGGGGGGGGGGCGGGGGGGGGTCGGAGCTCGGGACTGAGGGCTGCCCGCTCCCGGCCGGCTTGCGAGATGTGGGGAGGTGTGGGGAGGTGTGGGGAGATGTGGGGAGATGTGGGGAGATCTGAGGAGATCTGAGGAGATGTGGGGAGATGTGGGGAGAGAGGAGGAGATCTGGGGAGATCTGGGGAGAGATAGGGTCCTACGCCACGAGCCACGCCTGCGACGGCTTGACGTAGTACGGCGTGACGACGAGCGCGGCGTCGGCGCCAAAGAGCTTGGCCTGCTTGGTCGCCGCGATCGTCGCCTCCGTGCTGATGGTGCCCGTGCCCACGAGGATAGCCATCTCGCCGCCAACCTCTTCGCGGGTCGCAGCCATCACCTCCTCCTTCTCAGCGCTCGTGAGGGTCGAGGCCTCGCCGGTCGTGCCGAGGATGACCACGCCGTCCGTACCCTCCGCCTTGTGCCAGCGCAGCAGCTCTCGCAGCGTGGCGATGTCCACCTCGCCCGTCGATGTCATCGGCGTCGCGAGCGCCACCAGCGAGCCGGCAGGCAGGGGCATGCCGGCCATCACCGCCTCGCCGCCTCTGCGTGGAGCTGTGGCGACGCAGGCGCGCGTGCCAGCCGTGGCGGCAGCGGAGGGGTGCGTCGCAGGCGTGGGCAGCAGCGCAGAGCGCGAAGCGATGAAGGCGGCGCTGGCGAGGTGGGCGAACATGAGCATGGACAAGCGACACTCGCCGACGATCTGCCGCGCGGTGCGCTTCCGTTTTTTGGGCCCGATTATTTCTTTTTTTGAGCTAAACTTCGATGTTAATAGGCTGCAGTTGGCCCTCTCAAGCTTGGCCTTCGATGGTCTTCAAGGGTTGCCCGGCCGGGTTGCTGCGCAAATCTCGCGCTGCGCTAGGCTCAGAGCGAGTTCGCGCTGCGCTAGGCTCAGACGGCGTGCGTGCGCGGGCCGCCGGGGTGAGGACCACCCCACGCCCACCTCCTTCGGGCATCGGGCTCGGCAGCTTGTCGGGCTCTACCTCAGCCCTCAGCCGAAGTGGCGGTTTTTTCTTTTTCTCCCCACGTGTGTGTGTCGAGATACACATAGAGACGCCGTCGCCAACTGTCATGTCGGTAGCCGCTCTGTCACTTAGTCGAGCGTTGTCTTATACCTGCCCACGTGGGTTCCCTTGCCGCCGGCGAACTTGTTGTTTGTGTCGACTTCAGCCACGATGGGCGCTCCGAGCGTGGCAGAGACGATGGAGGCAACAAGCGAGAAGCGGAGCATGCTGCGGAGGGGGGGCGGTGGTGAGTCTGACAGTACGGCTGCGGACAGTGGCAGCAGGGAGAACGGCGGCAGCGGCGAGGGTGCTCCTGGGCTGGGGTGCAGCACACATCGCTTGTCTGAGGCACTGTCGGGTACCTAGGATGCCTGTCCAGGAAGCAGGATGGCCTGTCACGCACCAAGGCCGGTGGTTTGGTTTATTTGACTGAGAGAGAAGAAGACGTTTCGGAAAAGCATGCGCGATGCTGCCTCTTTGCGCTGCTCGCTCGCGGCTGCGGGAGACATGGCCGCCGATGTGGCTCTGGCCCCGCATTGAAAAACTGGCGCGCACTGGCACTAACACACGTAGTACACCCAGCGAAAAAGAATTTTACAACAAAACTCCCTCTCGCACGAAAAAGAACTCCCGGTTGCGCCTGGGAATACTTCTCACAGAATCGAGAGAGACCGGCTAAGCCGGTCCAGAGGCAAGTCAGAGCGGCCACGCGGCTAGCGCACCCCCTCCGTCGTCCAGCCTCCGAAGGACGAAAACCGAGCCCTTGTTGCCGCGGCCCAGCCGGACCTTGTCGCTGAGGTACGTGGTCTCCAGCCACGACGCGTCGTCGGCGCCTGAAAGAAAGGCGGCCGGGCGGAGAGGGTCAGCGCAGGCTCCGAGCGGTCTCCCATGCCCAACGCGGCCAAAGGAGATCCACCTCGAGAACCTCGAGAGGTCTCCAGGCAAGCACCGTCTGGTCGGTGTGTCCGTGTGTGATGCTCCAGCGTGGCCGTCTCCACTCCTCGCTCGCGTCCACCCGCGCCGCCTGGTCTCCGGCTGTTCTTCGCCTCTCTGTCTCTCTCTATCTCCTGCCGTTGGCGAGGGCCGGGTTGACCGCCCTCGCGAGTGCAAAGACCCAGCCCGCGCTGAGCAGCCGCCTGCCGCCACCCTCGGTGAACACCTCGAGCGAGTCGAAGGACACCGTCGCACGCGTGCCGGGCGCGGGCGGCGCCGCGGCCTCAAACGCGCCTAGACGGTACAAAAAGAAAATAAATATCGAAAAATAAAGCAAGGCAGAAAAAGAAAACCGCGGCTGGCGCCTGGTTCGGAGACAGTTGCGAGGAGGGTCAGGGAAGGCGCTCAGGGACGCTCCGAGGAGAGGTTTCGAGGAGAGGGGCTCTAGAAAGGCGCCGGCGACGCGGACGAGCACGCGGCCGAGCGGGGTGGCGAGGACGACCTGAACACACCATCTCAGGGCATGAACGCTGTATGAGCCACATGCAGGCAGAGAGAGGGAGAGAGAGGGAGGCGAGAGACCTCGTTGCCAATCCGCCGCCGCTTCGCGTCCACCTCCTGGACAGGGAGGGTGCCCTCCGACGCATCCACGACCACGCCCGAAGCGTTCACCACGCTCGCACGCGCAGTTCCGCTGTCGACCGACTCAGCGAGGTCCTCGCCGACAGTCGCCGCGACCGTCGCGACCAGCGACCAGCGACCGTCCAGGCGTTCAGGGCTGCTACGTAGCAGGTCGGCGGGCGGCGGAGCGGCCTCCTCCAGTGCTCGGAACGCCGACACCGTCGCAGGAAGGTTGCTTCCCGCCGCCAAAGCGAGGAGCCGCGTCTCAAGCGCCGGTGACTGACCGACGATGCCGCCGAGGCTGAGGGCAGCGGCGGCGGCCACATGCACGAGAATGGTGAGAGTGGGGTGCATTGAGCGTGAGGAGTCAACGGGATGCCCAGCAGAAGAGCGGTGCGCGCTCTCGGCTTGGCAGAGTTTTGAGAAGAAAAACGTCCGCGTGAGTGTGAGTGTGTGTGTTGCCGCTGCTGGTGCATATGCTGCTGCTGGCGCGGCGCGGCTCTCCGACTCGACTCGAGGCGCGCGTTGCGGCAATCTGACGCGGCGGGCGGCGTCGCGGGCGGCAGTGATCGCGGCTCGACGGTGGAGGCGGAGGGTGGTGGCTGTGGTGGATCTTTGAGTTTATTTCATGATGGACTACGAGGACTGGGGGTTCAACCGGGAGGCAGGGGGTCAACCAGGCGACGGAGGACCGTGGGCCATCGCGGGGACGGGTCCGTCCGGAGGGCGAACCCGATAGATCCGGATGGTCGTCACGCCGTGGTTTCGTATCAAGAATACTCACTCACTCACGCGCCTGAGTGTGTGTTGTCACTCACACTCACAAACAACCCTCTCTTAACTTTCCGCACTAACAACCACCCTCTATCTTGTTAACATACTTAACATTCTCTTCCACTTCGCATGTAACGTACAGTCTCAAAAGGTCGCGAGATGGAGTGTGGCAGCCCCTGCCGGCAGCGAGAGGGCGACAAGCAAAGCGCTTTGTCTTGGGCCAGCGAGAGGGAGAGGGAGAGAGTGAAGGGAGTGGGGCCCCGGCCGGTCCAAGTCAGAGGTCGAGCGGTCTTCACCGAGAGGTCCTCACAAGAGGTCCTCACAGAGGCCCCCCGCAGTTTGTGCCTAATAACGGCAGTATTGGAGAATTTTACAAGAAAACTCCCTCGAACAACACTGGGCACGGGACTGGCGCGCACTTGCACTAACACAGGTACACCACGGTATTGGAGAAAACGGCGCGGAACAAATGGGGCCCACTCGTTGACGGTGACGGTCGCGGCCTTCCGACTCGCGCCTCCGCCTCACTGGCACTATTGTAGCCCTGGCCGGTGCGCGTGCGAAGTTGAAGTTCCGGAGTAAAAATTCGAACCAGTTCTCTCACGGTGACCAACAAATGTCCACCTCAGAGGCACCTCCGGAGGCAGGCCGCCGCACGCCGGCGACACAGCTCCAGCTGTCGAACCGACCCGCAGCTCCTCTCAGAGCGGGAACTGTGACGAAAAGTGACTGAGGCGGTTGTCAGGAACCATCATACGGATCACATGGTGGCTCTCTCATGACGGGAGACCGCCCGACCACTCCTGGGTGGCACTGCCACCGGTGTCGCTCGACGTCCTGTCGACAGCGTGCCGACAGCGACACAGACCATGTGGGACGCGTCGAGTATCGACCTCTACTGCTTACCCAGCCTTCGAGTGTATCCTGGCTGTGGTCTAACACCCACTGGTGTCCATCTCAGAGACCGCAGGAGGTCATGAGGGTCGATGGGAGTGCCAACCCCACAATGCCTAAAAAAACCCAGCCCAGTAAGTAGAGCCGTAGTCTGTACATAATCACAAAACAACACGCGACCCCGGGAGCCGAGTGCCTGGACGCGTGAGGTGGGCGTCGCCGCGGTCTCGCGGCATCTTGATCTAGCACATGAGTGGCAAGTGCCTGCCCTCACGTCAGCTTGGTCCCGTTGCGCCTGCTCCCGCCCTTGGCGGTCTTAGTCCCGTTGCGCCTGCTCCCGCCCTTGGCGGTCTTGCCGGTGGTACCGGTTAAGGCAATTTCCATGGCCGTGGCGTAGCCCACGCCGTGGTGGCCCAAGCCGCTGCTGACGCCCCCGCCCGCGGCACCTCCCGCGGCGGGCGTGCCCCTGTGGTGTGCTGGGTGGAGATGTGAAGGCCGCGCGCGCGTCATCGCCCCCGAAGCGCTCGAAGCGGATGTACTGAGGCTCGCCGAGACGGAGGCGGCGGCATCTCTGTACAGCGCCAAAACAAAGAGCATCGCGACGAAGGCGAGCGTCGCGCCGAATTTGACGCCCTTTGAGAGGCCAGCTCCCTCGCCAGCCACCTCCTTCGGTTTTGCTGTGAGGGCGCTCGGGAGCGGCGCCTGGAGGACCTCAAATTCGACATTTTCGAGGAGGTAGCGTGCCATGCGTCGCGGCTGCGGGTGGTCGTCGATGTTCGGGTCGAGCTCCTCGACGCTCCCGCAGTATTCCAAGAGCCTCGCGGACAGAGCCGCTCCGCGCTCCTCGTCGTCAAACCCGCTGTCTTCAAAGTAGCCGCTCCCGTCGAGTGAGGCGGCCGTCTCGCTGATCGCCGAGGCGATTTCGATGACGCGAGCCGTCACGAGGGCGAGCTGTTCCTCGCTGGGGTTGCTCGTGCCGCCCATTTGTTGGAGGACAAAAGATCCGCTGAGACGCACGTCAGGGAGGAACTCGTTGACGCCGTTCACGCTTCAGGCTTCACAGAAAAAATATAAACACGGGTCGCGCGTGTGTTCATCATGGCGGCTATCCATAGGTCGTTATGTATGATACAACAAGCGGCTCAAGACACGCCCTCTCTCGCCGCGCGCCTCCGCGTGAAGCCGCGCCTCCGCGTGAAGCCGCCCGGCCCGCGGACCAGCCGCGCGTGGTACGAGGCGTGCGCGTCGGAGCCCGCTGGCCAGACCGCCTCGAATTGGGCCATCCAGCCGTGTGTGCACGGGCAGCGCATCAAAGCGCAGCCCGCCGGCGGCGACGCCGTAGAGCGAGTCGGGCGGCACGGCTTGTACTCGAGTAGGTCGGCGCTCACCCGCGTGATCAGGCCGAAGCGCTGCCCCTCGAAGTTGGGCATCCCCGCGCTGCCATTGTTGAAGACGGCGCGTCCCCACTCGGCGGCGCCGCCCCGGCTGTCGCGGTAGGCCTGGCCGTGCGGCAGGCAGGTGTGCGTGCAGACGAGCCCGACCACCTCGGCCTCCTCCATCCAGCCGAGCGCCGTCTCGCGCGGCGTGGGCGGCAGGTACTGCTGCGAGGCGGGGTCGCCGCAGCCGAGCGCAGCGCGCAGCGGCTCATCGGGCGACTCATCGGTGTGCCTGTGGCCGTATGTGACTGTTGTACGAGGAGGGGGGCGCGCTTCTCACGCCCCCCATCCGCGAGCCACGGTAACTTGCGGCCCCCCGGCCCCCCCCGGTGGGTCGCCCGATGGAGCCGCTGCGCCGCGCCCCTCGGTGGCGGGCCCCCCCCCCCCCGCCGTTTTTTTGGCCCCCCCCCCCGGGG